CTTCCTTCCTTCCTTCCTTCCTTCCTTCCTTCCTTCCTTCCTTCCTCAGCTCAGCCTGTTCTCATGCTTGGCCCTTACACCCTAGGAGTTACCAATGCATGAAAGTTCTCCCATTGCCTGTACTTGAACTGAGAGGAACATCTTCTTCAAGACCCCCTAGAAAATTGAGGCCAGTGAACTTAATTTGATGGCTTCTCTGCTTTACTTTGTGCTGGGCCGGGGTCAGCAACCTGCAGCTCTGGAGCCACATGTGGCTCCTTCATCTCTCTGCTGCGGTTCCCTATCGTTGGTCGGCGCCACAATTGATGGGTCTTCGGGTAGGACAGGAAGAGGGAAAAGGGTGCCATACTAGGAGGAGGCTCTATGGTGAGGGAACCGGATTTCCGGTCAGCTCCAGAATTGAATGGGGGGCTTCCGGTTAGGACCTTTGTGGATCTTTGGGTGCTGAAGGTTGCCAACCCCTGTGCTGGGCAAAACGGGCCCTGTGATGTTCAACCCTGCTCTACAAGGCTGGTGTCCGGCTGACCAGGTTCTCTTTTGTCTCCTTCTAGATCTCTGGAACAAGGTCTTTGTATTCCCAGCATCATCGGCCACGGCCGTTGTGGATCTCCAGGTCTCCAACCAGCAAACCTTGAAAGAGCTGACTGTCTGTTTGAGATACTACACCCTCCTGTCCCGTCCGTACAGCCTCTTCTCTTACGCCACCCGGTCAAGTAGTAACGATTTTCTGATTATCAGGTTCTCCCGCACTGACTATTCTATTTACGTTGGTGGGGAAGATGTAAGTTTCAAAGTTCCTTTGAAGGAGAAACCCAGCTGGGACCACATCTGTGTTTCGTGGGACTCCAGCAGTGGGCTAGTCCAGTTGTGGCTCAACGGAGAACCTCTCCCTCGACTGGGCCTGCAAAAGGGTTACAGCATCAGCCCCCAGGCCTCCATCGTGCTGGGCCAAGACCAAGACAGCTTCGGAGGGGGCTTTGACTTCAACCAATCCTTCGTGGGGGAGATGTCGGACGTCCACATGTGGGCCCGGGTTCTAACGCCTGTGGCGGTTAAATTGATCTGGAACAGCATCTCTCCTGTGGACCCCCTCATATACTGGAGGTCCCTGAGCTACAGCATCAAGGGAGAGGTCTATGTGGAGGATTTCCTGGCTCCCCAACATATGTGAAAGAAAGAGAGAGAGAGAGAAAGAAAGAATGTAAGAGAAAGAAAAGAAAATTCTGCTTGGGGAAAAAAAAATCTATATTTCTGCAAAGGGATGCAAATTGCTGATTCTTTACAAATGCTGGTAAAGAATATGTGAGCATTATACTTTCTTTATCAATAAAATTAGATTTTTTTGTGTCACGTTGGGTTGAATGTTCCTTGTGGATTCTTCTTACTGGAAAAAAAAAATACTAAATGCAGGTCTTGGGGCGCATAATACCACCCTAAAGCACCTACAGATAGAATCTAGCAAGCCTTGGTATGAGTCTCTCTGTCTTTTTCTTTCTTCTTCCTTCTTCCCCTTTTCTCTTTTTGTTCTTGCTCTTCCTTCCTTTCCCTTTTCTCCTTCCTTCCTTCCTTCCTTCCTTCCTTCCTTCCTTCCTTCCTTCC